AGTAAAATAGATACATTGTTATTCATCACGGAACACGATCATTTAACCCCTTCATGACCGAGGCCTTTTTTTTCCCATCGTTTGTTTACATTTTATAATCCACATTTTAGGCCCGAAAATTACTTCCAACCCCCCAAACGCGATATCTTTTCTGAAAGCCGAGACCCTGTGGAATAAAATGGCGGCGGTTGCAGATTTTTATGTCGCACGATATTAGCGCAACTCCTTATCAAGCCCTAAAATTGGGTGAAAAAATGCACTTGAGGCCCCGTTCACATTGAGCGGTTCGCAAATCGCGCGTTTTGCATTTTGCGCGATTTATCGCGCGATATCGCGCAAATGCTTGCATTGAGCAAGCTTGAATCGCGGCTACATCCGCTCCAAAAAGGGTCCTGCTGTAGCGACGCACGACCCGCGACAGCAGGACCCTTTGCCCCATTGAGAAGCATTGGAGAGCGATATCGCGCGGTAAATTGCCGCGATATCGCGATAAATCGCTCAATGTGAACGGGGCCTTAAGGAGAACAATGGGGTCAGGGCTTTTCCCCCGGGGTCACGGGAGGACATAAACTAGCGGCGTCCTCCCGTGACCCACAGCTCAGTATATCAGCTCGCGGTATACCGAGACCGCCGCAGCCCGCACGGACCCCGACAATGCTGTCTGAATCCACCCAGCTGCGTGAGTGACGGCTGGCTCTGCCTATCCAGGAATCAATCTGTTGTGCTTGCAGTGCAAGAAGCATGCTGGTAGGAGGAGAGGGCAGATTGATCGAGAGGTGAGCTCATCAGTCTACTGCTTCTTCACTGTGCACTTACAAGGGGATAGGGGAGGGAAATTAGCTGTAAAGTTTTACTTTAAAACTGATAGGAGGAGAGAGCAGAGTGATAAGAGAGATGACCTCATCGCTGCGCTTCTTCGCCTTTCACTGTCCAGTCACAGGCTGGGGACGGGTCCAGGACTTTGGGTGGAAGGATACTCTACATCAGACTGACACCATCTAGTGCACCATGTGACTTCTTACAAACTTACAATGTTGCATTGTGATAATTGGGGGAGGGGAGACCAAGGAAATGCTTCCACCTGCCTGCAGCAGACTGATCACTGGGGGAGGGGAGACTGAGGAAATGCTTCCTCCTGCTTGCAGCAGACTGATCACTGGGGGAGGGGAGACTGAGAAAATGCTTCCTCCTGCTTGCAGCAGACTGGTCACTGGGGGAGGGGAGACTGAGGAAATGCTTCCTCCTGCTTGCAGCAGACTGGTCACTGGGGGAGGGGGAGACTGAGGAAATGCTTCCTCTTGCTTGCAGCAGACTGATCACTGGGGGAGGGGGAGACTGAGGAAATGCTTCCTCTTGCTTGCAGCAGACTGATCACTGGGGGAGGGGAGACTGAGGAAATGCTTCATCCTGGCTACAGCAGACTGATGACATCATCTCAGCCTAGGCAAAGTCACAGACTGGAGCTCCAGGGCGGCTTCCTATAGAACAAATGCAGTACAATGTAACCTATCAGGAATATATTAGATGACAGGTCCCCTTTAAATCTCTAAGGTCCTTAAAGTGACATTCCGTTATGTCCGCCATGATTCCTGGCTAGGTGCACAACTAAGAAAATGATTTTTAGACAGCACATGCCTGCAGCGAAATGACAGGAAGCATGTGCAGACTCCAAAAACACAGCAAAGAGAAGAAAGAGGAGGCGGACCTTCTCCAGACCATGCAAAGCTATGCACTGGAGCATTCGCGGACACCGCTGGTCCAATCTCCCATAGGTCACACCCAGAGAAGCTCCTCCCACCACCAAACCAAACAAAGATGGCGCCCTCGGCTGTACTCACGTGCTGCCATTGGTCCAGGATGAGCGGCCGATACCGCAGGAAGAACTTGAGCGGGAACGACTCCGGGTCCGGCCAGGTGGAGGGCGTCTGCCATGTGACCTCTAACCTCCGGGGATTCTTATAGACGGTTTTGGCGACGACGTTCTCCGGGGGATCCGGCTTCACTGCAAGTACAAGGAAAGCGTTATAAAGGGGAGGTCGCGGCGTCCGGCGTGTACCGCGCGCGTCACTTTCATGTCATCAGGACTGAAACAGACAAGTGTCACATGATCAGAATGAAATATCGTACATACAGACGTCAGCAGGTGGAGCTCGGGGCGCCTAGTCCTATGTGCACCAGGCTAATCCTAGCGGCTCTTCTCAAATAGCTTTATACTTACAGCTAAATGTCTCCATGGAGTTAACTCCTCCCCTCTCCCGCCTTCTCCCAGCCACATCTGTTCACACAGAGCTACAAAGTTTCAATTAGAGAGAAGCAATCCTAAAGCAACCGGCTTCTAATGTCTTCAGAAAACACTGAGGGGTCTATTTATATACATTGTGGCCACTAGATGGAGCCGAGGAGCACAGGACATATATACATTGTGGCCACTAGATGGAGCCGAGGAGCACAGGACATATATACATTATGGCCACTAGATGGAGCCGAGGAGCACAGGAAATATATACATTATGATCACTAGATGGGGGAGGAGCTCAGGAAATATATACATTGTGGCCACTAGATGGAGCCGAGGAGCACAGGAAATATATACATTATGGCCACTAGATGGAGCCGAGGAGCACAGGAAATATATACATTTTGGCCACTAGATGGAGCCGAGGAGCTCAGGAAATATATACATTGTGGCCACTAGATGGAGCTGAGGAGCACAGGAAATAAATACATTATGGCCATTAGATGGGGAGGAGCTCAGGAAATAAATACATTATGATCACTAGATGAGGGAAGAGCTCAGGAAATATATACATTATGGCCACTGGATGGGGAGGAGCTCAGGAAATAAATACATTATGGCCACTAGATGGGGGAGGAGCTCAGGAAATATATACATTATGGCCACTAGATGGGGAGGAGCTCAGGAAATATATACATTATGATCACTAGATGGGGGAGGAGTTCAGGAAATAAATACAATATGGCCACTAGATGAGGAGGAGCTCAGAAAATATATACATTATGGCCACTAGATGGGGGAGGAGCTCAGGACATATATACATTATGACCACTAGATGGAGCCGAGGAGCTCAGGAAATAAATACATTATGGCCACTAGATGGAGCCGAGGAGCTCAGGAAATATATACATTATGGCCACTAGATGGGGGAGGAGCTCAGGAAATAAATACATTGTGGCCACTAGATGGGGGAGGAGCTCAGGACATATATACATTATGGCCGCTAGATGGAGCCGAGGAGCTCAGGAAATATATACATTATGGCCACTAGATGGGGGAGGAGTTCAGGAAATATATACATTGTGGCCACTAGATGGGGGAGGAGTTCAGGAAATATATACATTGTGGCCACTAGATGGGGGAGGAGCTCAGGAAATATATACATTATGACCACTAGATGGGGGAGGAGCTCAGGAAAGATATACATTATGGCCACCAGATGGGGGAGGAGCTCCGGAAATAAATACATTATGGTCACTAGATGGGGGAAGAGCTCAGGAAATATATACATTATGGCCACTAGATGGGGGAGGAGCTCAGGAAATATATACATTATGGCCACTAGATGGGGGAGGAGCTCAGGAAATATATACATTATGGCCACTAGATGGGGGAGGAGCTCAGGAAATATATACATTATGGCCACTAGATGGGGGAGGAGCTCAGGAAATATATACATTATGGCCACTAGATGGGGGAGGAGCTCAGGAAATATATACATTATGGCCACTAGATGGGGGAGGAGCTCAGGAAATATATACATTATGGCCACTAGATGGGGGAGGAGCTCAGGAAATATATACATTATGGCCACTAGATGGGGGAGGAGCTCCGGAAATAAATACATTATGACCGCATGTGATTGTAACAAGGAAAGGAAATTGAACGGCAACAGGTTATATCTGCCGAATTGTTTGATTTCCCTGGATACAGTCAAAGATCTGATGTGCTGACATTTCCGGCGAAGGGAACGTGAATGGTAAAGCCGAGGATTTCAGGCGTCGCACCTTGGGAGGCGGAGAGGACCGCCACAGTCAAATCGTCTCATTTCATCTTACAGGACCGGCGGAGGGAATTACATTTAGATTTACTGACAATATCTGCCGTCGTCACGGTGAAGATCATTTGGCAGAGCCGTCGGCGAGGGGCGGGGGCGCGCAGAGGACAATCAGCGCTGGCCAAGGTTGACGGTAATTAAAGGGGACCTGTCGCCTTCTGAAATATTTCACACACTCCGGTGGTTACGAGTTGTCACTTCCTTCTTCTACTTCCCACGCTTTTCAGGGTCATTTCTGGTCGCCGGGGCCGGTGGTGTGAGGACTTACCCGTTACCTCCCGCAGGGTCCCGCGCCGTCGGGTGGTCTCCTTGTGCAGCCGGAAAAGGGCGCGCTGCTCCCTGCGGAGCACTGGACCGCCTCTTAAAGGAGAACTATGAGGGGGGTGGGGGGGGTGCTTTTCACTCACCTCATAGTTCTAGCCGACCTGTGACAATGAGACTGTCACAGGTCGGCTCAGTAGATCGGGAGGTGAGCGGGAACACATACCGGCGTTCGCTCACCTCTCGATCCTGTGCCGGCAGAGAGCCATGACAGGGGAGGGACTGGATTCCCCCCTCCCCGCTCCGATCCTCCAGCGCTGACTGGCGGAACGGACAGGGGAGGGGGCGGGTACAGATGGCTCTGCCTCTAGATAGACCCCTGGCCTGTTCCATGACCCCCTGGCCTGTTCCATGACCCCCTGGCCCGTTCCGTGACCCTGATACTTTGCTGCCTGCCCCGACCTCTGCTACATTCAACGACTACGATTCCGGATTGTGATTTTGCTACCGTGGTCTTGGACTGCCCCTGTACTGGCTACCACTACGCAGGAGATTGTGCGTTATCCAAGTCTACTTGAGTGGAGGTACCAACCGTACTGGCAAGTCCCCCGCGTCTGGGCTCCCACCATCACCAACCTGAGAGGTGGCCTGAATACCCGCTGAGGGAAGGACATAGAACCTGACATATCTCCAACCTGCTCTACATCCATCTGCCTTCTAACCTCCTCCACCCCTCACCGCTCAACCCTCTTCCCTTCCAATGGAAAAGCACAGCATTGGTCCTATGAATTGGGTCATCTATTGGTCTACATTGCAGGAATCCATGGACCCTTCCTCGTCTTCTGTATGGTGGAGGTGTTATATTGAGGGGAAGGTTATCTTGAAGAATGTTTTTTAATTTAAGTGGAGTTTTTCCTTAGTGTTGGGGTTTTTAGGGAGGGTTAGTGTTGGGGTTACAGGCGCTATTAGTGTTGGGGTTACACAGAAGGTTAGTGTTGGGGTTACAGGAAGGGTTAGTGTTGGGGTTACAGGGAGGGTTATTGTTGGGGTTACAGGGAGGGTTAGTGTTGGGGTTACAGGCGCTATTAGTGTTGGGGTTACAGGGAGGGTTAGTGTTGGGGTTACACAGAAGGTTAGTGTTGGGGTTACACAGAGGGATAGTGTTGGGGTTACAGGGTGGGTTAGTGTTCTGGTTACAGGGAGGATTAGTGTTGGGGTTACACAGAGGGTTAGTGTTGGGGTTACAGGAAGGGTTAGTGTTCTGGTTACACAGAAGGTTAGTGTTGGGTTACAGGGAGGGTTAGTGTTGGGGTTACAGCGAGGGTTAGTGTTGGGGTTACACAGAGGGTTAGTGTTGGGGTTACAGGGAGGGTTAATGTTGGGGTTACAGGGAGGGTCAGTGTTCTGGTTACACAGAGGGTTAGTGTTGGGGTTACAGTCAGGATTAGGGTTATAGAATAGGTTAGTGTTTCGGGGTACACGGAGGGTCGGTGTCGGGGGATTTAGGAAAGTCTATTGCTGCCTGCACCAAACAACTTCCAGCACAGAAAAGATCATATATTGGTTCTGAAGATGGGGCCCTTCCTGGGACCAGACAAGCGTGACTAACACTGCGGCCGATGAATGAAATCAGGAAACGCCATTGCACATCTGACTGAAGAGTGGTGACAGGTCCTCTTTACATGAAAAGTAACAAAGAGAGAAAAGAAGTCTCCGAGTCTCCCAACGAGCGGGCAGACGAGACTAGAAGGATGTGAGATGTCCGGCAGGATCTCGCTTTCACTCCGCTCGGGGACTGGACGCCAGACAGGCAATATCCCCAAAGATTCCAATTAGCCGGCCGCGCCGATCTCCCGCTGCACACTGCTACGCCGTCAGCCAATCACAACAAAGCGCTTCCATTCCCCAGAAGTGAGGTTCGTTTTCTGGTGCGTCAGGTGCCAAAAAACACATTTTTGTTTGTGAAGGGAAAATGGAATCTCGCTGGAAAGTGATTAATCCTGGAACCCGGAGACCTCTGAAGGCAGCCAGAAAACTTTTAAAGAGACTTACGCGTCAGCTACCGGAACTTCTCTACTCTAATATTGCGCAACATAAAAATTTTCAACTACCACCATTTTATTCTATAGGGTCTTGGCATTCAGAAAATATATAATGTTGGGGGGTTTTACGTCATTTTCAGGCCTAAAATGTGGAATATAACATGGGTGCAAAAATGGAAAAAAGGGCCTCAGTCATGAAGGGGTTAAAGAGCACCTGTCACTCCGGTACAGAGCTGGCAATGGTTGTGTGAGCTGCAATGACAGCCGGTCTATCAGCCAGGAGCCGGTGAGATCATGGAGGCCGGAGATACGAGGTCTATGGAGGTCACATGAAGAGTGGTGACTGCCATTTGTCATTTATCCTCAACCATCGTATTCACAACAACTCATCGCATCAAGGTACCTGTACTGGGAGAGATACAGGGGCTTCCGTTGTTGACTTTCTCTTCGAAATGCTGATTTTCTGGATCTTTAAAGCAGAACGCTGGCTACAAATATAAACATTGATAACTCTGGTATAGCTTTTGCTGCAAAGCCTGCAATACTTACCCTCAGTCTAGAGCTCTCTGCAGTAATTGCTCTCCACCACTAGATGGCGCCAAACCTCAGAGTTGAATGACAGCCAGCAACAAGCAGCCCTATAGTGCAGATACCGCACAATATAATAGAGCCATTAAAGTGCACAACTGTTCCGGGCTTGTCGATGCTCATTAGAACAGAACATGGAAACAATGGCTTCTATGGAGTAAGACTTAAGATGAAAAATATATCCGATGGAGGACCCACTTTAATTCCAGGATGGACAAACAAGCACATTCATTTGAGAACGCTCCTCCTGGGACTGCACGCCGATGGTCCCACTGCACACCCACAGTGCCACTGCAAACCCACGGTCCCACTGCATGCCCATAGTCCCACTGCATGCTCACAGTCCCAGTGCATGCCTATGGTACCACTGCACACCCAAGGACACACTGCATGCCAACGGAGGACCCACTTTAACTCTGGGATAGACAAATAATCAAATTAATATGGGAACGCTCCTCCTAGGACACCTACTGCACGCCCATAGTTCCACTGCAAGCGCACGACCCCACTGCATGCCTTTGGTCCCACTGCATACCCATAGTCTCACTGCACGCTCACAGTCGCACTGCACGCCCACAGTCCCAGTGCATGCCTACAGTCCCACTGCATACCCACAGTCCCACTGCAAACCCACAGTCTCACTGCATGCCCATAGTCCCACTCCATGCTTACGGTCCCACTGCACACCCAAGGACACACTGCATGCCCACAGTCCCACTGCATGCCCATAGTCCCACTGCATGCTTACGGTCCCATTGCACGCCTACGTTCTCACTGCACAGCCACGGTTCCAATGCACACCCACCTTCCCACCGCACACTTACTGTCCCACTATATGCCTGCAGTCCCCATCCACACAAGCTATAAGCCGCCCTGTTCCTCACTAGCCGGGCTCTCATGTGTTTCCCATTAGCAGGGAGCCGCACGCTCCATCATCCGCACTTGTCTGCCCGCATTGAGAAATCGCCACATCTGCCTGTTTGTCAACTTTGTTGTTACATGATAAATATCAGCTCTATGAAATGTTCTTCACTTCAAAGACGAGAACGAGGAGGTTTGTCAGCAGAAAATATTCACATTCTTTGCCTCATATGCACGGCTGGATTTCAAACACAACCCCCTCCTCCCCCCCCAAGGAACTTCTCACAATGTTAATTTTAGCAGCCAGTGCCGGAACTTCCAATGGGACTGTTAGCTGGTGTCCAGGAGATGACAGCATTGTACTATAGAGGAGGGCTGCAGGTGATAATGCACAACTCCGCTCAGGAACATTAGAGTGTAAGCTCCTCTGTACAGAGACTGATGTGACTGTGGGGGAACATTAGAGTGTCAGCTCCTCTGTACAGAGACTGATGTGACTGTGGGGGAACATTAGAGTGTCAGCTCCTCTGTACAGAGACTGATGTGACTGTGGGGGAACATTAGAGTGTCAGCTCCTCTGTACAGAGACTGATGTGACTGTGGGGGAACATTAGAGTGTCAGCTCCTCTGTACAGAGACTGATGTGACTGTGGGGGAACATTAGAGTGTCAGCTCCTCTGTACAGAGACTGATGTGACTGTGGGGGAACATTAGAGTGTCAGCTCCTCTGTACAGAGACTGATGTGACTGTGGGGGAACATTAGAGTGTCAGCTCCTCTGTACAGAGACTGATGTGACTGTGGGGGAACATTAGAGTGTCAGCTCCTCTGTACAGAGACTGATGTGACTGTGGGGGAACATTAGAGTGTCAGCTCCTCTGTACAGAGACTGATGTGACTGTGGGGGAACATTAGAGTGTCAGCTCCTCTGTACAGAGACTGATGTGACTGTGGGGGAACATTAGAGTGTCAGCTCCTCTGTACAGAGACTGATGTGACTGTGGGGGAACATTAGAGTGTCAGCTCCTCTGTACAGAGACTGATGTGACTGTGGGGGAACATTAGAGTGTCAGCTCCTCTGTACAGAGACTGATGTGACTGTGGGGGAACATTAGAGTGTCAGCTCCTCTGTACAGAGACTGATGTGACTGTGGGGGAGGGGACATTAGAGAGTAAGCTCCTCTGTACAGAGACTGATGTGACTGTGGGGTGGACGTTAGAGTGTAAGCTCCTCTGGTATGTGACCCAGTGTGTCCCCACCAGCCGTTGCTTCTCCTGCAGACATGAACAGGTTAAGGTCGTCTCGGTATACTGGACATCCCGGCAGCACAGTGGACGGTGAAGAGGAAGAATGAGCTCCAGAACATCAGTCAGCCTCGTCCATTCACAGCCAGGTCCAAATGTTCTGCTTCCCCGTCCTTCCAATTTAATTAATTTTACTGGCGCCCAGCTATCATACGCGCTGCCAGCAGGACCAGGAGCCAATGCAATCAAAACTGCAAAGTTTCTCCTAGGAAAAGGTGTGTGACATCATGGAGGACTTGGACTGGGGTTCACTCTTCCCCCTTTGAGCCGCCTCTCTGTTGATCTATCGCTCCCTGGCTGCGGCTATGTTCCTCTAAGTGTCAATTTGGCTGAATTTTCATGAAGGACCTGATTTGCTCTGTGCAATGGAAACGGTTATTTGTCCAATTTATTTTTTACCTTGGAGGAACCCTTGAAATCATTTTTAGGTCTCAGGGGACCCCTGCTGAAATAGTTATATATTATTATAATATTATTCTTATACTACAGCTCGCGGTACATTAGCACGATGGGATAAGAACGGGGAATGCAGCATATCTGACACGCAGAACGGATCTTTTTTTTTTATTAACGCTCTCCTGCTCTATACGGCAAAATTATGTTTAAAAACAATCATTAAATGTATCTAATAATTAATGCGAAGAGATAGAGAGAGATATGGAAAGAGAGAGAGGGAGGGAGAAGAGAGAGAGAGAGAGAGAGATATGGAAAGAGAGAGGGGGGGAGGGAGAAGAGAGAGAAGGAAAGGAAGAAAGAGATGAGGGGGAGGGAGAGAGAGAGAAGGAAAGGAAGAAAGAGATGAGGGGGAGGGAGAGAGAGAGAAGGAAAGGAAGAAAGAGATGAGGGGGAGGGAGAGAGAGAGAAGGAAAGGAAGAAAGAGATGAGGGGGAGGGAGAGAGAGAGAGATGGAAAGGAAGAAAGAGATGAGGGGGGAGGGAGAGAGAGGGAAGGAAAGGAAGAAAGAGATGAGGGGGAGGGAGAGAGAGAGAGATGGAAAGGAAGAAAGAGATGAGGGGGAGGGAGAGAGAGGGGGCGGGGGAGAGAAGGAAAGGAAGAAAGAAAGAAAGAAAGAAAGAAAGGAAAAGAGAGAGAGAGACCACTACATTCTCTCTCTATTTGTATAAAATGTATGATATTAAATTATTTATTTCTGTTTTTCTCCTTGCATAAGTAATGTTCATATTTTAAATAAAGAGAAATAAACAAAATGAACTGAAATAAATCCCCACCCAAAAAAAAATAAACCTAAAAAAAACAAAAAACCCCCCAATTACCTATAGTAAATTCATCAAAGCTGATGGTGGTGGAGTTCCTCCCCAGAGGGTTCGTCGCTATGACCGTCACCCGGTACTTCAGTGTGGAGAAGAGGTGGCTGTACCTTATGTGACACCGGTTTTTGGGGTACGGGTCTTTCTCACAGAAGAGCTGTTTTGTGTCATGCCTGGAAATACAACGCGGGAAAGCGTCAGAAACGGGAAACGCGTCAATGAAAAAGAAAATCGGATCCAGTCTTCCCAATCTTTACATAGTTACATAGTATTTGAGGTTGAATAAAGACATAAGTCCATCAAGTCCAACCTATTGTGTGTGTGTGTGTGTGTGTGTATAGGTCCCTGAGTGTTCTCATTCTTAAGAGTACCTGTACCCTTGTACATTACGGTCTCTCAGGAAATCGTCCAAAAGCTTCTTGAATGATTCCAGACTATTTGCTGAAAACGCGGCTTGAGGCAGCGAGTTCCAGACCCTGACCGCTAAATCTGACGTATTTGATGATCGCGTTTCCTGGTCAGATTCGTAGAGTCTCCCTCTAGTGGTCAGGGAGTTGAGCTGGGCTCTGACCTGAACAGCTGGTGCTTTAAAGGACCTATGGGGGGTGCTTTTCACTCACCTCATAATCTGAGCCGACCTGTGACAATGAGACTGTCACAGATCGGCTCAGTAGAACGGGAGGTGAGCGAACACATAGCGGCGTTTGCTCACCTCTCGATCCTGTCACGGCTCTCTGCCGTGACAGGGGAGGGGCTGGATTCCCCCCTCCCCGCTCTGATCCTCCAGCGCTGACTGGCGGAACGGACGGGGGAGGGGGCGGGTACAGCTGGCTCTGCCTCTAGATAGGCAGAGCCAGCTGTCACTCACACAGCTGGGCGGATCCCGTCATCTACGTCGGGATCCGCTCCAGGTGCGGCGTCTCAGTATACCGGGAGCTGTAGCTCGCGGTATACTGAGCTTAGGGTAACGGGAGGACGCTAGTTTGTGTCCTCCCGTTACCCCAAGGAGAACTATGGGGAAAAACACTGACCCCATAGTTCTCCTTTAAAATCAATTGGGGCCCAATCATGCATACAAGTGATGCACCAATACCGATACCAGCGCATGCGTATTCTGCATTGACATTCACTACAGGAAATTCAATTCTTGTGCATAAACTGTTTTCCTTCTGAGTCTCTATTAACAGCGCAGCCTCTGCTGCCAATGGCTCCGACTTACATGACGGTGATGTTGAAGTTGTTGGGGATGTAGGTGGGACTCGGGAGATGCCAACTGCAGTAGAAGGAGGTGGGGTAATTGTTCGACCGACACATCAGCGATGGTTCTTTGGGAGGATCTGTAAAGATAACATAAGATACATTGTAAATGAAAGCTCGCATGTCAAACAATGTTATCAAATATTCCGTTTTGTCTTCACATTTGTTTAATTTTTGCCGTTTTACCTTTGGCAAGAATATATTTTATATGCAGATTAATAAGAGCGCCCTCCAGGGGCCAGCAGTGTAACAGACAGTAAAATCAGCACCACAACTGCTTTAAGACATGAGCTACAGAACAAGCTGCCCTGACAAGTGTATTGTATTTCCCAATGTTAGTGATTGAAGTAATAGAAAGAGGGGTTAGACTTGTGACAGTCACAGCTTTCGATGGGAGTCTAGTGTTCACTCGGTGTCATTTATTACAGGTATTTATATACACTATGCAATGATTTACTTTGTATAAAACCATGCGGCAAATACGAAATTGCAGGTGAAAACGGAGATGAATTTGGAAACGTTGGTTAATACTGAGCTACATCACTAAGATTGTCTCAAAATGTCACCCAAACTGTCCTCTCTGCTCCTCCCGAGACCTCCTGCTCCCTAGATCCCTCCTCCCATAATCATCGCTCCTCCTGAGACCTTCTGCTTTCTAGATCCCTCCTCCTATGATCACAGCTTCTTCTGAGACCTCCTGCTCCCTAGATCCCTCCTCCTATGATCACAGCTTCTTCTGAGACCTCCTGCTCTCCAGATCCCTCCTCCTATGATCACAGCTTCTTCTGAGACCTCCTGCTCTCCAGATCCCTCCTCCTATGATCACAGCTCCTTCTGAGAACTCCTGCTCTCCAGATCCCTCTGCCCTCTGAGAACTCCTGCCCTCTAGATCCCTCCTCCTATGATCACAGCTCCTTCTGAGAACTCCTGCTCTCTAGATCCCTCCTCCCATAATCACCGCTCCTCCTGAGACCTCCTGCTTTCTAGATCCCTCCTCCTATGATCACAGCTTCTTCTGAGACCTCCTGCTCCCTAGATCCCTCCTCCTATGATCACAGCTTCTTCTGAGACCTCCTGCTCTCCAGATCCCTCCTCCTATGATCACCGCTCCTACTGAGAACTCCTGCTCTCCAGATCCCTCCTCCCATGATCACCGCTCCTCCTGAGACCCCCTGCTCTCTAGATCCCTCTTCTCATGATCAATGCTCCTCCTAATACCTCCTGCTTTCTAGATCCCTCCTCCCATGATCACCACTCCTCCTCAGACCTCCTGCTCTCTAGATCCCTCGTCCCATGATCACCGCTCCACCCGAGACCTCCTGCTCTCTCGATCCCGCCTCACCTCCTCCCATGATAACTTCCACGATGCGGGATGATTGTTGGCGCTCGGAGCCACGGAGCGAGTATCAGCAAAACAGCAGAATTCGGTACATGTTCAAGAGGGGCTCACTGCATAATAATCTGGCCACTCAGTGTACATAAACAACAAAAGTTGTGGTGGGGTTTTCTTAAGAGAGGACTCTTAAGGTTAGAAAATCGTATAAATTTATTCAGTTCATAAAAATTATTTTTCCATGATGAAAATTAAAATCGAAGTTAATATATAGACATGATTATCGAATCCCTACATTTCTTGCATATAGATCATGCATAATTCATTGTCCATTTCCTAATGTCAATCATTTATCCATCATTATATTACATATACATGGTTGTGCAGCTCCACTGATCCCCTACGCGTTTCACATATGAGCTTCTTCAGGGGGTTCTATTCTCGGCAAAAAAAATCCAAGCATCAGAGGTCATGTAGGGATCCAATTCCAGGAGGACAGGACCAGTTCCAGTCACGCCCAGAAAGTTCGAGTAGCGGAGCCACAGATGCACAAAAAGGTCCAGCAGGAATTTTGTATCTTCAAAATCGACACAAAATGTATACAAATGTAGATACAAAGTGGCAATGCCGGTACATCGTTGTCCCTGTACAAACCTCTGGCATGGACAGATGTAGAATACGGGATTCCGTTTTGGACGCCATGCTGAAAGATCAACAAAGGAGATTTGAAGTGAGGTGAAATCAAGGCAACGCAATGACTTATTCCCGGGCCCATTGACAATGTGATGGAGGAAAAGACTAGTTTGCCTTCAGCGCAGGAAGGGGTTGTTTACGGAAATAGCGGTTAAGCTGTGGAATGCTCTAACACACGAGGCACTAATGGGAAAATTAATCACAGAATTAAAAAAAAAAAACGCAAAATCCCGGATGCTTTTGTTACCATTAGTAAAGGAGACCACGGGAAGGTTTTAGATCCAGGGAGCTCATCTGACCGCCGTTGGGGCTCAAGAAAGATCCTCCCCCTTTCCTTGGCAAAAGTGGCCACAATTGGCACCTTTTTATTATATTGTATTTTTTTAGTATACAGAAGAACAATTTGGGCTAGGGAGTTCCAAAGGATGGCAGCGACTCTGGAGACGTCCTGGAGGTGAACATGGTAGGTGTTGAGGGAGTCAGGGGTATTATTTTTGCCACCCTCTTGACCAAAACCACTAAAGTTTCTGAGAATCTTTTTCCTGTAGATAACTGATTTACACTCACCTCATAGTTCTAGCCGACCAATGACAATGAGACTGTCACAGGCCGGCTCAGTAGATCGGGAGGTGAGCGAACACATACCGGGTTCGCTCACCTCTCGATCCTGTCACTGCTCTCTGCCGTGTCGTTCGCTCTCTCCTCGATCCTGTCCCTGCTCTCTGCCGTGACAGGGGGAGGGGCTGGATTCCCCCCTCCCCGCTCCGCCAGCGCTGACTGGCGGAACGGATAGGGGAGGGGGCGGGTACAGCTGGCTCTGCCTTTAGATAGGCAGAGCCAGCTGTCACTCACGCAGCTGGGCGGATCCTGGCACAATTGTCGGGATCCGCTTCAGCTGCGGCGCCTCAGTATACCGCGAGCTGTAGCTCCCTATATACTGAGCCTAGGGTGACGGGAGGACGCTAGTTTGTGTCCTCCTGTTACCCTAAGGAGAAGCCCTGACCCCATAGTTCTCCTTTAATGCATTCTCTGCATTAGGGTAAAAACAGCCCAGCACCTTTTTTCTCCCCCAGTCCCCCCCCCCACACTTACCTGTCAGCTATGCTCGTCCCCGCAGCCGGTCCCGAAGAAATCCTCCGTTCCCCCCGAACTTCCTGGTTGTGGGGGGAGGATACTGATGGCAGAAGAGCCACAATCAAAGAGAGAAGGGGTGTGGCCTGCCAGAGGGCTGTGCGTGTCTACGGAGGCACACAGCCACTGCGGGCACGAGCGCGCACGGGTGCCTCCATTAGAACGATGGCGGCACCCGTACAGGGGCGGGGGAAAGATTCCTGCGGGGAACCCTCTAGAAAACGAATTCAAAACTTTTAAAGAAAAGCGGCAACAGCGTCAAGCAAAGGTGGGCGGGCTTTAATATCACTTTAAGGCATTTTGTTTTCTTTCACGCAATCCTAATAGTTCCTTTGTTATAGGACAGTTTTTTAATGAATGTTGTCTACTGTTATTATTATTACACAGGATTTATAGAGCGCCAACAGTGTGTGCAGCGCTTTACAATATAAGGAAGACATTACAATCACAATACAATTCAAGACAAGATGGTAAGGAGGGCCCTGCCCCTGAGGGCTTACAATCTAAAAGGGAGGGGCCAGTGATACATGAGGAGGTAGCTGTGTGGGGAGGAATTGTTTGAGAATGTGATGGTTGAGCGGTTAGGTTGAGGTGGGATAGGCGTCCCTGAAGAGATGAGTCTTAAGGGATCGCCTAAATGCGGTCAGTGTTGGAGATAGAAGGACAGGTTGGGATAAAGAGTTCCAGTATAGGGGGGTTGCAGGCACTGAATAGTTGGTTAGGTGAATGAGTCTAGCAGCTGCATTCATGATAGACTGCAGGGGGGAGGAGCCTGTGTAGAGGTCGGCCAATGAGAAGGGAATTGCAATAGTCAAGACGAGAGATAATAAGTGAGTGGATGAGTAATTTAGCGGTATCATTGGTGAGGAAGGGGCGTATTTTGGAGATGTTACAAAGGTGAAGGCGGCAGGATTTGGATAGTGATTGGATGTGGGGGTCTATATACTGTATCTGAAGTAGTGACAGCCTGGGGAGAGGGCTTCCTGTCTGATCATATCATTGTGACAGGGAGAGAATACAAGCGAATGATCAAGTATGAGCTAATCCAACAATCTAAGAGAAGAGATTCAGATTCCTTCTTCTTCCATTTGGTGACGGTTTCTCTTTGAGAATAAGAACTCTTTATCGAGGAGCTCATGTAACTCGGAGCCACAAAACACGACGTACAACTTGCCTTTAAACAGGCTGCAATAAGTTTGATGCCGCGCGTCGTCGTCACCGGCTGGGAGAATTTATATATTTTTATTAAAAGCCGGTCTCTCTCCCAAGGAAACAAAACACAAGAAGCAATTGTCATCGATTACGCCGAAAACGCGCTCGGGTGAAGGAGTCCCGCTAGGCTCTCATAACGGGCTCTATTGACAAAGCCGCAGCGCTCGTTACGCGGCTGCTGAGGCTCGGCACCTGTACGGCAGCCCGGCATTAGATAGCTGATTTGTAGGGAGAACATGACAATTTGTTAACTGCAAACATTTGTGCCTGGAGGGGCCCGCGGCGGCCATATTGACAATCTGCGAACGCTTTCCTCTTTAACGAGCGATGGGCCTCCCGCCGAGCGCGCTGCTGAATGAAGCTGTTTCATTTACAGGCCACTTTCACGGCTTATTATATGTTTTCTGTTTGCAGAGGCTGCGAGCTCGGCGACATTCAGTTCATTAAGACGGATGACTTATTTTAACGCCGTTGTATTTTAACGCGCAATCTTTTTCTCTTTTTTCTTCTCCTGAAATTGTTTTTTATTCGCGGCAAAGTCGCTCAGAGGCGGAATCTTTTTTTTTTTCATACAAAACTCGAGTTCTGCTTTACTGTTCAAACTGTTATTTCTTCTTCTCAGTCGTTACTTTTATAAAACGTTATTTTGTCACCGCGTCAAATGGTCCCTTTCCCTGCTCTACTCTGCAGAGACCTCACTCAGCCTCACAG